GCACAGAATCCCAGGACAGATCCAGGAGGTGGCTGCAGTGCTGGGTTGCAGGTCAGAACCCGTCACCTTCGGTCAGTCCCAGCCTTGGTGTCTGTAGGTCTGCTGTCTGCAGCAGGATGGTTCTTGCCCTGTGTCCATTTCTGAGAGGACATTTCAGACAGTGACAACCAGGACCCGTGCTGGGCCTGTCTGGGAAGAACAGCTTCTCTACATCAGCAGATGGACACTGGGAGCTGCTGGCCACCGTATTCCTCCAGGATGGAAGAGCAACAAGGAGGAATAAAACCATGGATGATGGGATGGCTACGAGGGATGGCTGGAGCCCACATCCCACACTCCTGGTGCCCATCCACCCTGAACCCCACCTGTGTGAGGACCGCAGCTCCTTCTCTGCTTGGGCTTTGTTAGTATAATTCCCCACACCATAGATGGACAAAGTCCACTGAGAAGCTCCCAGTCCCCAAGGGACATCTCCCTGTGACACAGCTCCCCATTACAGAGCCAGCAGAGAACCAACCAAACTGCAATCTCTGCCAGAGGTCAGGTTTGAAGATTGTGGTGGATATTGTTGGCTGCCCACCAAGGGCCACTCACCAGCCTCCTGTGGTAGAAGCAGAACTGGCTTCCAACACAGATGTCAATCATGCCAGACACCTGCTGTCCAGAGAAGATGTCAGTCCATTGCTCTCCTCCAGGATCTGAGCAAAGGACTGACAGAGAATTGTGTGAGAGAATCTCGTCCATGGTTAAAATGGGAGACCTGAGGACAATGTTCCCTCTTGTTGAGGGAGATGGGTGAATTTGTGATGTCTGGAGGCCTGCAGCCATGTAGAGTTCATGAGTCAGCCAGCCTAAAGAATGCAGGTGACTAGAAAGACAAAGAGCCTGGGTGATGGTTTGAATGTGTGCCCTCCAAAATCAGGAGTCGCCAACGTGACAACATAAAGAGATGAAGCCTTCGAGAGGTGATAGGCCACCAGGGCACCTCCCTTGTGCGTGAGATCAAGGATCCTCAGTGTACAACAAGTTTGCCACTCTGTCTTTGCCACAGAGGGATCCAGCGTCCCTCCCCTCCAGGGGATAGAGCAGAGCCTGTGTGAGCCTTGATCTCTCTCAGACGTCCCCTCCTCCAGAGCTG